GGCCTTGTGGTGAATCGATTATTAATTGCTCCTACGACTAGGAAAAAGCCTAGAATATCTGCAGCGTGGAGTATTTTATAGCTTTCCACTTGCTTCAAAACATCCTGATTTATGACTAACTGAAAGGACTGCCAGTGCAGAGTGAAGATTTACGTCATTCTATTGTCTCTTCCCTTCTTCTGTTCTCATTCTTCCAAAATAAAAATCTTTTATCTCAAAATGAATCTCTTTTAAGGTGTGATGCCAGTCTATTTGACTCTTCTCGGCGGTCCACCGTGGGGTATGCGGCTCGGCAATGATCAAGAACTTCGTCCTATAATAGCAACGGTAAGTTCAAGGCTTTCCTAGGCAGAAAGCTAGGTCCTGCAACGATGAAAGTTCTGTCCATTACAGACACTCACGAACGGTCGAGCCGCTAAGGAGGGTGTAAAACCAGGAGATGTACTGCAATCTGTGAACAATATTCCAGTATTCACTTGCAAGCAAGCTCATGCTGTCATTCAAAAAGCTCAAGGAAAGCTGAGGCTTGGGATTGCTAAGTGAGGATATTCTTAATTTTCTTACTAATTTTAGCAACTAAGATCATTGGACCAGCGTTGAAAGAAAAAGCATCTGATTCGGGTGGTCCGAGGAGGATGAACTTTCTTCTAAATATACATATAAGCAATCCTTCTTATGCATTAGGTTGATCCATAAGTCTTGTCAGAAAATGCTAAAATTCGAAATAAAAATATTTAAAATAAGATTTTAAGTTGCGTTCAATTTTGAGAAACTTGCAATAAGTACTCTATTCAAATATGTACATAAATCTTTAGAAAAAACATCGAAATGTCGAGTCAAAACCCGAAAATCATAAATATCAATAGAAACATACAAGTACTGTGATTTATTACAGTTAGAATGTTAGCAAAAGAGTAAAATAATAGCTAATAATGAAATTGGAATTTTTGACACTCTTAGTATTCAAAGACTAGAACTCAAAAAAGGTTGAATGTTTTCTTGATCAGCTTGTAACCCCGATAAAAAAATTGATTCTCGCCTCAAATATCATCAGAAAGCGCATGATTTTTTCTTTGTATTCAAGAATTGAAGCAAATTCGATGACAGGATAAGTAGTACAATTTTCCGAGAATTTTGTTGCAAGATTCATGGACCAACCTAAAGCATTAGATAATAAATAATCCAAAAAAT